CCTGTTACATGTAAGTTGTAACTTGACCAAAGATTGAATGAATTAAAAAACAGTATTAGGGAAATTTACTAAAACTTTAGAATTTTAATTTGGCGGCACTGAAAAGGACCGTTTTAGATAGGATGTACAATGCTTATAAAATCTTTACTTTTTCTTGGAGATAGTCTTTTTCACCTTGATCACTGTAGACCTAGTAATAATAACAGATTGTTTCGATATGAATCACGAGTTTTTTAAAATCACAAATTAATGGTTTATTTTTCTAATTGTTATTTATTATAATTTATTATCATAAATTAAGGTAATCTTTTTAAGTAAAATTATTTATTAATTAGTATTCAATTATCTTTTAATCTTGATAAAAATCTAATGATTTTTGAAATTTAAATAATATATATAAATAATTCTTATTTATTTGAAATATATTCTACATAATGTTTTATGTAATATCATAGATTTAATTATTACAATCTTATCTATATAAATATGTAAAAATAAAATCAATCCGTTGTATTCACAAAATTAATATATTTGAAATGACCAACAATATGGAATGTGTGATGAATATCTGTAACATTTTGGTGCCACACTATATCCGTTTGAAAGTGACCATTTTTGGATGGCTACCGTTTATTTGAAAAACCTTCGATGACTAATTAAAAAATATTGGTAGATTCTAAAACACCTGAAGAACATTTTTCTAGTTTATTTATTGTTTTTCAAATTAAATTAAATTATTGATGGCGTGTTAACTATGTACTACCAAATGTAAATAAATGTGCCGAAATAACGGTTAATAAAAAAAATACCGTAAAAGATATCTGAACAAAATTTATCTATTTCTTTTCAATATTTAGTAAGCTTTCTATTGAGCCTAAAACCAAATTTGTAGAATAATATCTTAAAGAGTTATCGTGATAAATGTCAAAACAACCATTACGAAATCGACAGGATTACATTGAAGGTGTTTACTAGTCGGTACGGTTCATAGTATATATATTCAGTCGCCAATACCACCATATTCATACTGTTCCAATCTTGAACATATTCGTCGACAACTATAAATCTATTATCATGACCGAATCAGTTGTTGCCAGTCCTGCCCCAGTCACCTCTACCACGGCTGCCAAGAAAACTTCAACCAAAAAGAAAGCTGTTGTCAAAAAGGCAGCCGCTGCTCATCCGTCGACATCAATTATGGTGACGTCCGCTATTAAAGAGCTGAAGGAGAAAAAAGGCTCGTCGTTACCGGCCATCAAGAAGTATTTGGCTGCTAATTATAAAGTGGATCCGGTTAAGGTAGCCCCGTTCATAAGAAAGTTTTTGAAAGCGGCCGTTGCTAATGGATCAATCATTCAGACTGCTGGTACTGGCGCTTCCGGTCATTTCAAGATTGCAGTTGCCGAACCTAAATCTAAACCCAAAAAGAAGACTCCCGCCTCTAAAAAGTCAATTGTGAAAAAACCGAAAGCAGTTCTTACCCCCAAGAAGAAAAAGACTGCAGTTAAAAAGAATAAAACTGCGGTCACCGAACCGGCTGCGAAGAAACTGAAAAAGACACCTACAAAACCCAAGGCTGCTAAAGCAAAGAAATCTCCAGTTAAATCGAAGAAACAATCTGTTACTATTACTAAATCTACTAAAGTGATCAAAGTGAAAAAAATTATCTCTAAGAAGAAGTAAAGTTTTTACTAATTATACATCCTTTCTAAAACGGTCCTTTTCAGGGCCACCAAGTTATATTTCTTAAAATGTATATTTTTTTTATAGTGAATTTCTCTAATACTGTTTTTTGATTCATCAATACGCCTAACATATTTACATATGTACATGCTTCGCGTTCATATTTTTCATTCAATTTTCAGATGTCTGTTGCTAAGTACAATTGTTTCGTGTCAACATACAAGTTGTTCGTTCCTTTTATATTTCAATAAAAATAAATAGTGATAGCGATGATGAATTATCAATTGCAAGTGCAATTTATATTGTATTAGCTTCAAAACACGAAGATGATGGACTATAACTTTATTGAAAAATAGAAAACTATATGTAGTTTTATATTATTTATTTAAATATCCTCAATAAATATTTTATATAAATTTTGTAGATACAGTGGTAATAAATTAATGCATGACTTAACATACGAGTGTTCTGGAAAATTCGAAAATTATGTCGGACGACAAATTAATTACTTAATATTATTATTATATTACATAATTTAATTGGTCGATCTATTTCTTGACAAGACACGCACTTAAGAAAATCTATACTTGCTCGGAAGCGTTTAGCTGTAACGTTACAGTTTTTGGCAAGTGGAGATAGTTATCAAAGTTTAACCTACTACAATAAATTGAATACAAATATACAAATAAAACTACAACTAAACTACACGAAATAATTTTTTCGTTTCCTTCGATTTCGTCAATTTTACCGACTCGTTCGCGTAACACTGCGAAACGGATTACAAGAACAATTTTTCGTAAAAAAGCTATACCCACTATTCACGAAAAAAAACGAAAACGTGAAAACACGAAACCCGAAACATGTAAGTGTGNTATCAATGATCATGATGATCTCGTGAAATCTGTATATGTATTTGGTATCATTGATTTCTGGGCTTCTAGTAACAACTAGTAGTCAGTACAAAGATTAAATATATAGTTAATTGTATACATATATACATATTATTGTATACAAATTACCCATTTTTTGGTATTTTCCTTAATTTTTTTTTTTTAAATTTTGATATACAATTATTATAGAAGATTTGTTTTATAAATATTATAATAAGTAGGTGTTAGGTAATATTAAGACCATGGTTACATTTTTTTAATAAGTGCTAAATGATATGCGATACACATAATAAGTATCGCATAATATTTAATAGTGTATTTATTACTAAATACCCTGAAATCTTCGAATAATAATTATTCTAAAGGATAATCAAATGATAATGATTCCACAGAAAGGTTTTGATAAGATAATAAGAAATAGGTTGGAATATCGGTTTAGAACGATTCTATTTAGCTTTTGAGGAATTAATTTATTTAAAGATGTGTTATTTCACGATTACATTAAAAATGTAAAAATAAAAGTCTGGCGAACTTCATTTTGAAGTATAGGCAACACCAAAAAGTTTAGTGTTTTCATAACCATTTCTTAGTATTTAAATTGTGTTTTGTGCGAAAAGTGCATTTTATCAATTTCTTGATGTGAATTGTTATAGAACTTATAGGAGTGTGGGTGGGATATTCCAAAAACTAAATAGTGAAATGTAAAAACCGAACCACTTTTAGATTCGGAGTGGAGCGAAAGATCTATTCGTATAACACTACTATGATTTGTTTTTTTTTATCTGTAAACGATTTTTTACACTGAAAATTTGCACAAATAAAAAATTTACAAGACCTCTTTTTGAAGTATTTTTTCCATTTTCTAGTTTTAGATTTAAAGCACTGAGCTTAAATCATGATAAATTTTTCACTTAGAAAAATGTATCAAAATTCCAAGATGCATATCTTTCTGAAAGGAAATTAGTAGGTACCATACTACCGATAAGACAAATGTTTGATAAAAAAAAAATGTATGGAAATTTAACAGGAGGATCATTATACGGTGTATTTGGATTTCGGGAATGTCGCATTTTAATTTTAAGAAATATGTATATTTATTTATAATATACTGGCTGTCCCGCGCTTGGCGTTGCCCGTATTGAATGAAAACTACTTGGTGAATACACCAAATAAAAGAAAAAACTAATTTTTCCCCTTAGGGGTTGAATTTTCAAAAATCCTTTCCAAATTTCAGCTCGATTTACCCAATGGATTGAGCTAGGCTAATTGTTCAGTCAGAACATGTTATTTTATAACTATTGATTGGATAACTTTTGATTAATTATTTTGGAACTTTCACATTTAAATCAAAACAGCGAGGACAAGGTAACTGAGCAACAACTGATTCAATTATGATGATAGCTTGGTAGTTTTCAATGTATAAGTTTCTGGATGGCTACAGTGTGTTTTTAGTGGTATGGCGACTGAGTATATATACTATGCGCCGTACCGACTAGTAAACACCATCAATGTAATCCTGTCGATTTCGTAATGGCTAGTTATTCTAACATTTATTATTATGATAATTCTTTAAGATATTATTCTACGAATTTGGTTTTAGGCTTGATAGAAAGTTTACTAAATATAAACACTGAAAAACAATAATAGATTATTACTTTTGCGATATTTTCTTTAACTGTTAAAAATGTGTTTTTAAACGGATATTGGTGGTCCTGAAAAGGACCGTTTTAAAACCTTAAAATTAATTTGACGAGACCACGAGATACCCTTTTTAGCAGTGTAGCGCACACAATTTTGAGCTGATTAACCTCCGAAACCGTACAAAGTACGGCCTTGGCGTTTAAGAGCGTAGACGACGTCCATGGCGGTCACAGTCTTTCTCTTAGCGTGCTCGGTGTAGGTGACGGCGTCTCGAATCACGTTTTCTAAAAACACTTTCAGTACTCCTCGGGTTTCTTCGTAGATAAGGCCTGAAATACGTTTCACACCGCCACGACGAGCTAAACGACGAATGGCCGGTTTGGTAATGCCTTGAATGTTGTCCCGGAGTACTTTACGATGCCGCTTCGCTCCTCCTTTTCCAAGTCCTTTTCCTCCTTTACCGCGTCCAGTCATCGTGATATTGGTTTCTCGTGAAGGAAGAGAGTTGTGCTCGGGTTGAAGTTACTGCAACGAATGACTGCCACCGTCCAAGAGACCGGTATTTATTCACTCGGAACGACAGCTCTGACCAATCAGATCGTCGCACTGAAAACTTCCACCCTTACTGATCTCAACTAATGAAAACGGCGAATCTTTTGTCAGTTTACAAATATATACAGAAACAATTTGATTTGTATCAGTCGCGTCATTAATAAACATTTTAATAATTTGTATAACTAAATCTATTGAACGTTCAGAATTATTTACAAATCAATACTGTATTCCGTCAAACAAAGTAAATAATGAAAAAAGTTTGATTTTTATAATAACAATATTTCAATAAATATTTTTTTTCATTTGAGAAATTTGAATATTTGAATATCTTTTTTTATTACAGGGTGATTTACGAATAAATTGATAAACATGTCTTTGACACGTTATATTCTGAGTATATAATATATTTTATGATCACAAAGAACAGAAAGGTTTGTTAATCAAACAATTGTATTGTGCTTGTTACTAATTCGCAGAAGCTATAGATAATTCAATTGTTATCATTCCTTAGAGGAGGCCTATACCGTATCCGTTAGAGATATTTTCAAGATTACTCCCATTAATAAATCTGACGGCCCAGAGACAAATTAATATTTCGTTTTTATTTTAAAATATAAAAAAAAAATTACGGTTTCTTTTCGGTCTTTTTGGGTAGGAGCACGGCTTGTATATTAGGCAATACACCACCTTGGGCAATGGTAACCCCGTTCAACAGCTTGTTCAGTTCCTCATCGTTTCTGATGGCTAACTGCAAATGACGGGGAATGATACGAGTCTTCTTGTTGTCGCGGGCAGCGTTACCAGCCAACTCTAAAACTTCAGCAGCTAAATATTCCATAACAACTGCCAAGTAGACGGGCGCACCACCACCGACACGTTCAGCATAATTTCCTTTCCTCAACAAACGATGAATACGACCTACTGGAAATTGAAGACCTGCACGAGACGATCTGGTCTTCGATTTACCGCTCTTGGCTTTGCCTCCTTTACCTCGTCCACTCATAATTGTATTCTAGTGTTCAGACGTCTAGTACGGTAAATATTATGAAATAAAATCAAAATTTTTAAAAACGCTGGTTCAAATAGGTACAACAGTATCTGTGGACGTAATAATTTATGATCTAAAAAAAATGACAGTATAAAACATTCTAAAATGTATAACATTATTACTTTAGTAGTGTTTATTTACGTTATTATTTTTATAAAATTTGCCAAGCTAAAACGACTTATTGTGTACAAGTATTTTGTTTAAAAAATGTCGATTTTAATCATTAAAATATACGTTTTGACCAATTGTAGCAAATGATCGTGATACAACAACATTATCGAAAAAGTTTTCCATCAGGGGGCCTATTCTCAAATTAATCTAAAATATCGGTCGAATAACTCTGGATTAAACAAGTAAATTCGATCAAATGTATTCTTAAATAGTGATTGAATATTTTTGGTTGGTTAATCATTCATCTCTATTTAGTTTTTTTAGTATGAAACCTTGTCACTCTTCATTCTACTCTTTTATCCCGTAATTGCTGAAAAAAAAAAATAATTTTATTTGTCCACTTTTTAAATATTTTAAAATAACCAATTAAAAATATAATATACTCAAAATTTTAACGTATCATAACATATGTTAATGTCCGATTAATAGTTTCCTAGTTGTAGTGACTTATGTCTTATATGTATAGTAAATAAGCGTGAAAATAATAAATAACTGATAGAAGATAAGGAATTACCTTATGATATACGGTGATTGTAATATCTTATCACGTAACGTGTTGTTCTATTGAAAATTATTTGTTTCCACACCAATATTTTAAAAACTAAAACTGCTATTACTAAGAAACTAATGATTGGATATGAATTTATGTTTCATTAAAATATTTAGAATAATATATTAAACAAAATGGCTATTTTTTCAATAATTAAGAGATGAGAATAAAAATTTATTTTTTCTCTACATACAGGCTGTTCCACGAAGATATAACCCTCGAATACCTCCGGGGATAATAAAAATAATCAAATTTTGATTTTTTTTTTTTTTTTTTTTTTTTTAATAGAAAATTAACTTTTTCATTTTATTATTTTTCTGAAAGTTTTAATGTATCGCATATTTGAATAGTTTCTATGTAACAGCCACATTAAATTCTACTAATATAGATTGTTACACCATCATGGTGTAAATGTATCTATATAATAATATTATAATATACGATGTTTAGTTTTTACCACTATTTACTAATAAACATTAGGTAACAGCGCTACCTATGTGCTTGTCAATGTACTAATAGTACCAGAATTTTACAGAAAGATGTCGATCAAGTATTACTAAATTTCTTTTTACGAGTATATCGCTAAATGATTCAAAATTGATAGTAATAACACAATACCTAATATGCTAAAATCTATGGTTTCATTAAAAATTCTATTAATCAGTAATTTGTTTTTAATTTTTCAATACTTTTCACTTTTATAACTTACCCTCTTTCAAAATTACGAATGTATTTTATTAGTCGTCTGATTATTAAATGATACACGCCATTAATACTATAAGCATTTAAACAGTTCAATCAAAAAAGTATGTATGTTATTGTTTTCAATTTAAAAATAAGTGGTGATACTAATGAGCCGAGGACGGGTGCAGCCATTGCAATAGATGGGCATTGGGCAGGTAGCCGGTAGGATATTAAATAAAGTTATTTAATTTATATTTTTACGCAACGATAAACCAATATATTGCTAACGAAAAACGATTCGAAACGAAGTTCGGTAAGACGTATTTTGAAATGGAGCACCTACCTATAACAGGTAATTTTTACGATATTCGTTAAAATTTGATCTTAAAAATCTTATGAAAAAAAATATTTATGTATCTAACTAAAATTTGTTTTTTTACAACTTATAATGTACCTTATGTGCAATTTTCAAGCATTTCTCTTAAGCGATACAATTAAAATAACAGATATCTATCAAATGAAAAATCTATATAAAAACACGAGAATATCAAATACATATAAATAGCCTAAACATAGCTATAATTTTTTGAAAATTTTACCACATCCAAATTAATATAAATATTTTGTGAAAACTGTGAAGGTCTCTACAATAACTTTTAAACGAATAACAATAAAATATTCAAATGTCATACATTTTGCCGTGTTCTTACGTTTTTTTCCCGTTTTTCCGTAATTACTAAGAAAACTTTGCATGGAAAATCAAACAGCGGCTTTCTTACATACACAATAGATAACATTTCCTTAAAAAAATACGTTTTCTTAAGACGAAGATTTCTCTTAGAAAAAAAAATCTCGTAAATTTCAAACAACGAATTCGTTCCGCTAAATAGTGTAAAAATCCAAATTTTCGTCTTTTTTGGTTTTTCCCAATTATTATGAAAACTACTTTAGATACAAACAATGACTTTCTCTATCAGTAGCTAAATATTAAAAGGAACAAAATCAATTTTGTTGTATCACATTTTTTAAAAATTATTTCAATAACATGAATATTATAAAATACTAATACATAGCATTATGCCCGTATTTTATATTTTATTTATCACTAGTTTAGAAGAGGTATTTGTATTCAAAAGAAGAATATGTCAATGATTAAGTACCATCGTAAAACAATTCAATAATTCATCATCATATCCATTTCAATTAAATTGCAATAAATTTAAAATATTAAAAAGTAATATTATGTTTACGCCTTCTAAAACCTTTGGCTAAATTTATTTTCCAAGGTTTAATATTCAATCAAATATTTTAATAAAATACGAAAATACTTCACGCCATTTGTTGTTGATTGGAAAAGCAGGACGATATAATACAATTGTATTTATTTATTTTTAGATATATACATAATGATAAATCGTTGCTAGGTACCAAAAATTATTCTGAGTATAATATTCAGTTAATCATAAATAACGATGTTTGTATACGATTTTCGTTAAAATTTGATATTCCTATATAAAAAAAAAATACTATATTATACTCGATTTTATTTTCACTACGGAGGACGACTTATAATGAACTACCAGTTAAATGTTCAAGCTTTTTTTTTAGTCTGACAATTTTGTTCATAGAGTACCTATCAAAAAAAACTACATAAGAAACTTGCAAAATAAAAATGTCTATAGATAGGTCAAAAATAACTCAAATGTTATCACGTATAGAAAAAGCAAATATAGTTTTTTGTAAAGATTTTAAGTCTCTAGGAATATTTAAAATTGAATAACAACAAAAAAACAAAATTGAAAATAATTAAAGCATTATTTTAAATGATTCTCCCGTTTTTCCCAATTATTATGAAAACCGCTTCAAAAATCAATAAATTACCTCCTTAAAGTACTAAGTTGGTAGATAAAATTTCCTTTCGGAAAAAGTGCTATACTTGATATATCAAAGCAAGATTTCTGATAGTTACCCACAGAAAAACTTCTTTTTATCCCAGCCATTTTGCTCCAATTTTCAATCAGGTTTTCTGAGAGGAAATCTCACTGGGGTGGTAATTTAGGGAGATTATTTTTCCTACAAGTTTTCCCAATAAATAAGAAAAAATGTAAGTAAAACAGCCACAATATTAAATAAATATTATTAAAGAAAATATATAATGTATATGTATGTATGTAATTATTTTACCATAATATGACATATATATATATATATATTGTTAACAAAAAACACTATTAACCGAAATCAGAATATTATTTCGTTAGCAATGGTTAATCGTCGCGTACGATAGATTTACATTAAATTTCCCCTCTACCTTTCCAACTTCTCACCTGCAACAGTGGTCCACCCATCACGTAACAATTGTTATACTCGTCAAAACTCAAATAATGTTTTTACTCTTTAGATAAAGTAGATAAGTGTAATACAGAATTTGGGAAAAAAGAGAAAAAAATGATATTTTGAAGAAAACCTATTTTTAAAATTGAAGGCATTAAGGGACAGATTCAACTTACTTAAAATTATGTACACGTTATTTTTATGTATATTGTATCTAATTTAAATCTTCAGAAAATATTTCAATTTTGAAAAATAATAAGAACCCCCCTCCCATATATATTTATATATGGATATTATATAAACAATTGTAGAATTTTAGAACCATGTAAAGAAACATAACCCAAGGGGAACGATCGCCTTATCACCACTCCTTGTGTCTGCTACTGTATCCGATGCATTCCACTTGAAATAAATAGTAGAGGTATGCTTAAATTTCTGGAAAATTAGTTAAAGTATTCCGTCCCAATAATAATGCTTTTATTATTTTTCAATTTTGTTATTTGTTGTAATTCGGTTAAAAACATGCGTACAGACAATTTTTATTTACCTTTTCTAGACGTAGTAAAATATTTCAAAAATGTAAACCATTTTTGAGCTTATTATGTCATTTTAATTCTGCGAGTTTTGTACGTAATTTTTATTCGGTATGTAATCTGTGATAAAATTGTTAGACTTAACAGAAATGTTTGAAAATTTAACAGGGGGTTCATTAACAGTCTTACTTTGTAGAAATTCTGTCTCCGTAGTAATTTAGGGAAGTCAGTTTTTGATTTTTCAAGCGGTTTTCATAATATCTGAGAAAAACCGAGATAAAATGTCAGGAAAACGGAAAATGTACGAAATATATGTATTAGTAAAAAAAATATTTTAGCCTTTTTTTTTTTGTGTACAACATTTCTACCAGCGATTTTGCTCAGATTTACAATGAGAACATTTTTTCTGAAAGAAACCTGACTGGAGAAGTGTTTTATATATATATTTTATAACTATGGACTGGATAAATTGATTAATTATGTTAGAACTTCCACATTTAAATTAAAACAGCAACAGTTTAACTGATATATTTTTAAAATTTAAATTTGAATTATGCAATAATTATGGTGGCCCTGAAAAGGACCGTTTTAAAACCTTAAAATTAATTTGACGAGACCACGTGATACCCTTTTTAGCAGTGTAGCGCACACAATTTTGAGCTGATTAACCTCCGAAATCGTACAAAGTACGGCCTTGGCGTTTAAGAGCGTAGACGACGTCCATGGNGGTCACAGTCTTTCTCTTAGCGTGCTCGGTGTAGGTGACGGCGTCTCGAATCACGTTTTCCAAAAACATTTATAAAATATATAATGTCTATTTAATTATTTTACCATAATATGACATAAAAACTGTTGACAAATCATCACTATCAACTGAATTCCGCTTAGAATTGTTTTTTCATAAGCGATAGTTTATCGTTACTTACAGATATATATTAAATTATCTATAACAGTAACTGCATTCATCTTCATTATCCTAGGACGTCTGTTTTTCTTGTGGTATCAATAATTATTGTTTCTCTGATTCTGCATTTGTGTAAGTGCAGTGTGCCTAAAAGTTATTTTTAAATTATTATTATTATAATTTTTTTTTTTTTTTTTAAATTGACACATAGTAAAATATATTTCGAGTAAATGAAAGTTAGTTTTAAAAAAAAAAAAAACACGATGGACTGCCAGTTTAATAAATTAAAGTGTAAGGAGAGGTAAAAACCCGAACGTCAACGATATGATACGGACTCTCGCACATAGATTCTAATCAATTAGGTCCTCGGAATAATAGTAATATTATATTATTATAATTATTAGCCGGTCGTTTCATACAATGATGAGTCACGTATAATATCGATTATTGCATATCAACATATAATCCGTATAATTACTAACTTGATTACCGTAGACAAGCACGCTGAACCTATAACCATATATAAACGACGATTTTTGTCACAACTTTAACTCTGAGAACTCTCGTAAACTCATCTGCAGGTTCCTTGTAATTCATTAAAAAAAAATTAAAATGCAAAACATCCAGACGGTTGTTGACGGAACTGATCGTCAAAGTAACTACAATGATCAATACGACGAAGAAGTAGACAAACTGATAGAATGGTTAGAGATGATGCCTCATTTGCCTAATATTACTGGTAAGCTATTTTTTTCATTAATCATTTACATCATAATTATACATATTTCTTCGTATGTTTTTTAATTTTTTTTTAATAACCGAATGAAATCTTTTTAAACATTTTTTTTTTAATATAAATTGTTTACATACTATACTCGTATATTATCTTCTATAATATTAAATACTATTTAATCAATACTATACTACCTACACCGAAACTATGTCTGTGGAAAGTTAGGGATCACCTCTCTCGAAAAACTCGATTAATAAACTCCGCTCAGAACCATCTTCGATTGCAATGATTTATCATTCGTTGGTTGCAATATATAGATTAAATCGCTCTAAATACCAAGTAAAGTCTAAAAAATAAATTTCAACTTTTGATTTCAAAAATTTACTCTGGTTTTTATATAGGTGTAACAATAGTATAACACTCTCTTACAACTTAGTTCTGTTTAGGGATTATATATGTCTCAATATGGCGAGACATTCATGATTTTTACTATACTTTGCCTGTTGCCCGTATCAATTCTTAACGAGACATGTATGTCACGATTAATATTGATTTTTTAAATTGATGATCTCATTTTACAAGCGAGTGGGACAAGGAAGTTCCGATTTGTTTACAAACAATTTGGTTTAAAAAAAATATTGAGAAAGATTATAGTTATATTTATAAATATATCTATACAAATATAATTATATATGTATGGATGTGATATTAATATATTATTCACCTGAGTATACAGAAGAGACTAAAACCAACGAAATTAATGTTACACTGCACAAATGTTATTTTTAAAGAAATTCCATTGGTTATTAATGCTAAAATAGGCACCAAAACTAACCACAGGTCAATTTTATCGAAGTGTTCTTAATAATATATGTTCTGTAATAATCGTTCTACACTGCGGTTTGTAGTAATATGTCCAAAGGGATTATAATGGATGTGTGAGAGAAAAGCTCCCCACGATTATATTAAGTTTTTAGTTAAATAGAGACCCACAATTTGTATATGCTACTTGATTTTCTTACAATATTACATTTCAAAAAGTTGTGTCCATTGCATAACCTAACCTAACCTGTCTTGCGAGGCAAAAGCCAAAAAACAATAATGCCAATCCTAGTACTTACCTTATACATAGGTGTAGACATAATTAACAAAATAATTAAATATAAAACAATCTGATGTTATTCTTTATCATCTAAAACTAGTCAAAATGTTCAACTATCACATTTACACACTTCTTCGTACGATCTAGACACTCATCTATCACTTCACGTACTACTTCTAACCATATAAGGGCTGCTGATTTTACCAAATAAACAAATAATCAACAATCTATAGTCCAAAGGTACTCGTACAAGATAAGTGAATTATATTATCGTAGCATTTTGAATATTTTTATGCGTATAAATAAACGACGGTTATACGTAAAAAAAACCCCCCGCTAGTCGTGATAAAGTTATAATACGTTACATAATAAATATAGCTATTATACCTTTTAATAAACACCCATAATCACATAGTTATTTTATATAAATGACGTAAAGTATTAGGTACATGGATTAAGTATATAAAAAAAAAAAAGAAGTCCTAGGATAATGGAGATAGGTGCAGCTACTATTATAGATAATTTAATGTACCTGTAAGCAACAATAAACCATTGCTTACGAAAAAACGATTCTGAGCAGAGTTCGATTGATAATGGTGCTTTGTCAACAATATATTATATTTCATATTGTGGTAAAATAATATAATAGGCATTATATATTTTTTTTAATAATATTTGTTTAATGTTGTACCGATTTTCCCGTTTTTCTCATGTTTTTCCCATTTGATGAGAAAACTCCCGAGAAAATCGAAAAACGACATGTTTAAAGTATTTCCGCACGCTAATTTCCATTCAGAAAAGGTGCTACACGTAGAAATCCGACTAAGGCTTCTGATAAAAAAGTTGCGTGCAAATAAAAAATAATAATAATAAACATCTTGGTAAAACTATAAGCATCTTCGCTCCACTCAGAATCTAAAATGTCGTTCTATCTATTATATACCTACACTATACATGCATATTGCACATACAACAAAATTATCAACACACCGCTCTATAATATGAATAACTAAGGGGATTGATTTCCAAGGAACATGAATAATTAATTTGTTGACCAGTTTAATCAATACCTACAATATTATTAGATCGAGCGTGGTTGCGAAATTGTTTTATCGGACGAAAACACCAAATGGAGAGAACGAAAGAATCCCTAGACGGTTATTTTTGCTGTAGAGCATTAATAAACGAGTTCTTTGGAGTCCGCGATCCACTCGGAGATGATGTCCAAACGGCAATGAGAAAAACGTTAGTATAATATTATTTGGTCGCCGAATTACAAATAGTACATATTATTTACTTGCATAATGAAACAATAATACTTATAACTATATAATCACTTATTATATATACCTATAGTTGTATTTCAATATATTATTATACATTATCAAGTTGCAGTGGCGTAAATTAGCCATAGATTTTATTATTCTATGAGAATGGCCCGTCGCTGGTGTACATTAGTGATTAACACGGGTCGGGCAGAATCATAAGAAAAATATTTCAGGTTAGTAATGGTCGGACACGTATTTGGCTTTGGACCAGGCTGGATAATAAGAAAAATTAATTGGTAGCCCATAAAGCCGAGTTCCCGTAGTGCGTGAGTTATGGAGTACATAATTATTTATTGTACTCATAACATTTTTTTTGTCCACTCATTTTATATACTCAATACTGGAAAGATAATAAGGTTAATCAATTTATTTTTATTTCAAACATACACAATCATGATGTTTAACTAAATATGGCCAAGGCTTTAAATTATAGTAGGTTAGACACTCAAGCCGTACTTTAACGAAATTCAATTACAGATTTTTTTTTTTTTTTGTAGAAGAAATACCAGTAATCATTATACTTTTATATGGTAAGCCACTTAGTCACATGTATCTAAGTAACGGACGTTTGATACGACATGAATAATGAAATTATTTAGGACTACTTGAGAAACGCTTTTATGTTAAGTGCATTAGTTTGGAAATGTTAATCCACTTAATATACCAAATGGATAATAGGTTGAGTTGACTTTAAAGGTTATTGGAGATTACAACTAGGTCACTATAGGTGGTGAAGACAACTTTGTCAGCTACGAATGTATTTGGGATAATAGCTGATTGGTCAGCTGTGAAAATGCTAAATAAAACTAAACTTAACAAAATAAATAATAGAGTAAAAACGACCAGAGTTTGTCATAAAAAAATCCAAACAGACCTGAGCCTCAGAGGGTACTCTTTTAATTTAATTGTATTTAAAATTTAAAAAAGACGTCCTAAGATAATGGGGACGGGTGCATCCACTGTTATAAATAATTTAATGTATACTGTAAGTAATAATAAACTATTGCTTACAAAAAAACGATTTTGAGCGGAGTTCAGTTGATAACGATACTTTGTCAACAATTTAAAGTAAAACCTCCGAATAGTGGACACTCTCGGACACTGATATTTTTTCGTTATTCGGACGTATCCGTTATTCAGAAGGGATACATTTTTGAAATTCATAAATCATAAATTTGTAGAAAAAAAAACACAAAATGTTATTATTTATTACAAATTATCACATTTTTATATTAAAATGTATTATTAATTGTTATTATTTAAATTATATTTTTATATGTATAATATATTCTTTAAATTATTTTTAAAATCGGCGAGCTTTGTCTGTTTATATTTTGTATGTTTATCAAACTTCGTAAGTCAGTCTGGCATAATTTGTGTCGTTATCCAGGCCTTTTTATTCCAACACCAGTCACCCTGGAATTTATTTATGTCTAATTTTTTGAAAGCTCACGATTGTTTGGCCTTACCTATGACAAGAGAATGTTCAAACCCCTTATCATATTACAGCACAATAGCACAGTCAATCGTTCTTTTGATACTTTTCCACCACTGCACCTTTCATGTTTAAATGCCATACCATCTAAGCCTAAGCCCAATCTCGTCGACATTGAAAATGTCTCGCTCTTCATATTTATCTACATTTGGTAATTTTTTCTTCCAGTTATCAAAAGTTATTCTATCAACGGCTGAAGCCTCCCCACAGATAGATTCATACGAAATATTATGCCTTTTTTGAAATTTTTCAAGCTACCCTTTTGAAGTTTTAAATAATTGAATTCGTAAACTATAGCAATTTGTTTAGCCTTTTCCTATATTGTTGGTCTAGAAACTGGCAAATTTTTTTTCCGAGTTTTGCTAAACCAGACCAAAAATTCTTCATCAATTAGGCAATACTGCCTTTACATTTTCTTAATTTCGTTAATTTACGTTCTTCATTTCTATTTTCAACCCACACTTTATACATTTTTTCTGTTTTAAACACAATATCCGCAATCTGTGTTTTTCCAACTTGAACTTTTTCTGCAAGTGCACGAATTCCTACGTTGTTGTTTTTACGGTAAACTAAAATGTCTATTTTTTCGCGAAGAGACAAACGCTTTTGTTTTAACATAGTCATTGCGTCAAAAACTGTCACTAACTGACATACTTTAGTCATAACACTCATAGAAGTTTCACTGATAACCAAATTCGTCGTAATATGTTTTGTGATCGTAATTTTATCGTCCCATAACGAGTTTATTATCGTAATTATATTACGAAAGTACTTACGAATGTGAATTTGTGTATATAGTTTTAAATAAAGATTAAAATAATGTCTGCTATTCGGAGGTTTTCCCATTGAAAAGTAGTGAAAATGTCCCCGTTCCCAAAAAACCGTCCGCTATTGGGAGGTGTCAATTAGTGGAGATTTTACTATATATGTCATTTTATAGTAAAATAATTCAACAGGCTTTATATATTTTCTTCAATATTATTTGTTTAATATTATACCGATTTTCCCAGTTTTCTTAAGTTTTTTCCGGTATTCACATGTTCTATCACATTTTCTGGGAAAAGTCCTCAGAAATCCGAAAAATAGCCACTTCAAACACACTATGTACCTCCCCAGTCGAATTTTCGTTTAAAAACACTGCTATCGTTATAAATTGAAGCAAAATTGATGGTAGAAAAATTGTGAAGAGAAAAAAAAATCGTAATATTTTACAAATATATTTCGTACATTTTCCCTTTTTTTTCGATTTTTCTCATTTGATGATCGAACAAAATGTAGTAATGTAAAAATCGGAGTAAGTCCTCTGGTAGAAAAGTTGTCCACAGAAAAAAAATAAACATCTTTTTAAAACCATAAGCTTCTTCGCTCCACTCAGAATCTAAAATGACCCATGCTGATCTCTAGTGTTCATGCACTAGCTGCACAATGTAGATAATATTTGATGGTACAAAATTATTATCTTTCTGCACCACCAGAAAGTCTTAAATACACGTATATTAGGTATTTAAACATTTCTTTACTCCGCCACGAATTTATGTTACTGCCCTCAATAATAATTAGTGAACTTACCTAACCGAACTTAATCTGACCAAACAACACATCTTACCCATTTGTATGTCACCTGATGCCCAAACAAAATAATAATATATAGGTGGTTTGGATTTTCAACAAACTTAACTAAGGAAGGCCATCAGGTAATTGTAACGAGAAACATCACGGACGAAGACGTTCCCGGTAGATATTTGGATCAGTGGACGAAATATTTTTACATGTGCATAGACTGGAATCTAAAGCGGATTACTGCCAACGGCGTGATAATTATTTATGACATGGCTACCACGAACAAAAACGAAGTACTCACGCAAGTAACGCCGAATTTTCTCAAAAAATCTTTGCAGTGTTCGGTGAGCGATATTAAAAAAATAATTAATTCTCTTGTCAAAAATATTAAACATATATATTTTTTACGTCCATATATTATTTATTTATATAATTTTTCCAGACATATTTTCCATACAAACTTATACAAGTTCACTTCATAAACGTACCGCCATATGCAACCGTAATATTCAATATTTTAAAATCATTGGTTCCGAAAAAAATTCAATCACGAGTAAGTATAACATCAGTCGTCTTTAAACATTATCTCATACTAATTAACTAATATTATCAATTATAAAATAATATATAAAAGTTTCAAAACTTCATTTATTTTTGAACTTGTGTTCAATTTATTTTGTTAACGTACTAAATTGTTTTGCCCATCTTTTATTATAGCTTATAGATAGATACTGAAACTGAATTATAATATTATATAAAAACTTAAAATAATTAATTTCAGATATTTATGCATAACAATCCAACGGAAGTATTACAACATATTCCAAAAGAATGTGTTCCGTCAGATCTGGGTGGTTGTGATAAAACTATTAAAGAGCTTGGTGGTATGTATATCCTTATATACCAACGAATTTAAAAATATTACACAATTAATTCACACCGAAATAATCCGTAGAATTCTGCAACGAAAACATTGTGACCCAAAGAGATTTATTCACAAACGGATTGCTTTCGTTAAAAGCGGACATGGATAAAAAGCCGAAGAATGCTAATGGCAACGAACAGTCGGATCTGTTTGGATTCGACGGTAACTTCAAGCAATTGAATATTGATTAGGTACAAGGTGATTCATTTTTATAAACATCATAATATTATATTATGATCTATAGCCGGTGGAAAATAAATACAAAATACATATTATAAATTCAAATTTACATCAACGATATAATAATATAATAAGATACAAATGTTACAAGATTAATGTTAAGATTATGTTATATTTTATTTTAAAATTAGTAAACAATATGCAATATGTATATTATTGTTTAATATATTTATTACAAACCAAAATTCTTATTGGATACAAGGTAATATATATTTGGGCACACATTTACAAAGTTGCAACTTATTTGTGCGCATTTGTACAACTCGATTGCGTGTAAATTATATTTAGTGCAATCACTAGTTTACGGATACATTTTCCTTCCTACAGACTTAGAACTGTCAGCCAATATTTTATCTTCTCTGATATGGTTGTAAGTTTACTTTTGTATGCTATTTCTTTAAAAATATTCATAATTAATAATATTAAGGGAAAAAAGGAGAAAAACGGCCATTTGAATTTGTTATTTATTTTAATTACTTCAACATTTTACCTTGAAAGCGGTTCATGAATTGTTCATGTACCTATTCAATTATTTGTGTTTTTTTACGACAACTGAGATTATTTTTTTATTCATTTTAATTTAAGTTCAGTTTTAATCCTGTATCCTTTATTTTTAAAAATCACTTTGGAAAATCGTTAGATAAAAATTGATTTTATACGTCGATTACAGAGTATACACAGAAATGTGTTCGAAATATTTGATATCCATTAAAAAAAAATCTTCTATTAGCCCTTGAAATCGCGCTTAAAAAATAACGCAATTTCTGTTTTGGCACAACTTAATATTTTATTAAATATTACAATACCTCGAGTACTCGATAATATGGAGTAATAGGTACCTATACTCGTAAATTGACCCACAATCCCTGTCCCCGTTACATCTAATAGCCGAGGCCGGATTATATCATACGTGATTTTTAGTGATATCTAGTTTATTTTGAAAACATGATAAAAATATTATGACTCAAAATAAGGCTAAAAATGGTAGTCGCATGATTTTGAAATCTTGAGTATCTACTAAATTTTTTTTAGTAACGTAAGCCATTATAATTCATATTTTATGCAGTATAATATGTATGAGTAGTGGGTACCCACACCTTTTTTTTTTTTGCCAACCTATAATATTTATAGGTTACAATTATTATAAATATCTAATAGGTGACAAATAAAGCAATTTTTGTTACACCGCCAACCCTCTCATTAAATAACACTCAGCTTTGCTCACCCAGATAAAAAATTCTGACGCCACCAATGTGTCCGTATACGCTCAAACTAAAATGATAGTAAATTTTAAAATGCGGTTTTCACGGAACAATCTAAAAAAGGCTTCTTCTTCCCCAATTTTCATCCCAGTTAATAAAAAGAAAACTAATTGGTAGTTTAGTTAGTTTGGTTAGATCAGTAATTTCTTTATCTGGATAAAGATAAAATATAACTAAATTTAAATTAATCTAACTAAATATAAATACTTTTTATCTATGTAGATAAAAGAAAGATAAAATTGTTTAATATATTGAAATCAATCTATTTGTATACGATTTAAGTATAGGTAAGATGTTTAAGTTAATTTTTGTATTAGCTGGATATTATTATTAGTAAAAAGTATGAATTAGTTAATAATACATTTTCAAAATGAAATATTTATATTTTTAATGCTTACTATGTTATATAATTTTCAATGAATTTTTCAACCAAAGGTAGGTAAGTGGTACCCTAGGAATTCGCGAAAAACAACAGCGTAATGGCGGAAAAAGTGAAATGTATTATATTCAATTAAAATAGCTTGTTATTTTTTAAATCGGGTTTTCATAATATATAATATAAGTGTATAACAGCCAATTTGTATAATAGGAGTAAAATATATGATTGTGGCATGTATACACTAAATTTTATCTAATCTGGTGGCGTAGCATTACTCGTAGTCCGTAAAGCAGTGGTAAGAGGTCAAGGGGTACGTCAATGAAAAAAAGTTAAGAAACGCTGATCTAAAACACAACAGCTTTTCAAACGTTAGTTTCTCCTAGGAGTCAATATTTGAGAACCGAAACTAAACAGTCTTTTAACTAGAGCGAATGATGGATGAGTAGTGTTGTATTTTAGGAAAACTTTTTTTATAGTGGATAATGCATTTAAAATGTTAAAAACTTTTCTTTTTTTTTTTTAGTATTAAAAAAAGAAAATGTTTATACACTTGATAGATTTGTACTTTTATTTTTATTTTTTAATTATCATAAATCTTAACAGAACAATCTCCATTAAGAATTTCATAAAATTCATGCCTCATTATTTATTTCAAAATTATTTTCTGTTAAAATTTATAAATTACATTTTGAGATAAATAATCTTTTGTATATCTTTAAATGCTTCAGTGGTATTCAACTAAGTTTGAATTTTGAAAAACTAATGGCCAGCACAGTAATCGCTTTAAGATATATATATATATATATATATATATGTAATGTATACATATATAAAAGCTGTAAAATCAAATAAATAATTAAATCTTTTTTTGAAACTGAGAACAATTTATTGAAATAGTTCACAATACTATAAACTTTAAAGTTTAAATGGTTGTATGAGATCAATGTCGGGTTGCACCAAATATTTACATAGAGATAAACTCGTATATCTGGAGTTAAAATAAATTCTGTTGCATAAACCATGTTTTAAATTTTATCTGTTATTGAAAATGTACTTTATCAAGAGTTAAATTACAAGCCCATGCATGGTCGTCTAAAAATGTATGCATAGTTAAATTTCGTTTTCAATGTTTTGCATCACTTCTACTATCGTTACAGTGGTATTATTTATTCGTTAACCAGTATTCTGGTAATAACCTGAATATAAAACAATGAGTAAAACTCATAAATTTAATACATGTTAAAACTATAATTTATCAACCGTTAGTATTACATTATATAAATATTTAATACTAAATATATCAATAGATAACGACAAGTTTGGTGCTACAGGACACAAGTGTACAGATGAATTTATCTAGATAAGTAAATTATTTATCTTAGATAAATATTTAAATAACTTAAAAACATTTATCTAGATAAGACAAAAGATAAATAAATATGGTTCTATATAAGTCTAACACTGCTCATTGAGAACTTACGCTACTTCGATAATCCGGTTTGCATTGTGGTTTATTTTTATTAAGATAACACTCGGAGTTGAGTTCCTTCATGCCGCTTGACTAGTGTACTTGAACCGAGAAACGTTCTTGTAAATATCAACAGTTCCGTTTATTTCGGTTGATTTCGTGATGATGAAACTGATAAATTCTCATAGGGTGCTACGGATAGTATACGATACGTCATAATGTGCAAAATTACATAGGTTTTTTTTTTATCAAATTTACCGATCTATCGCTTTTTTTGTAAAATATACAAAGGCCAATATATTTTATTAAAACGTTGAGCGACAATATAAATTGGATTTTTTTTGTGAGGCCAAATACTTCCTGTACGCCTTTCCCCTACCCGTATCGTAACTTACTTAACCCGCACCCCTTTGATATAATAATATCATACTCATTAGAAGTTCATTTTCAAACTATTTCAATTAACTTGATGGTTATTGATTTTCATCACGAGACCGAAATTAAATTTTCTCTTTATTTTATAAATAATAACACCAATCAGAAAGTTTAACACAAACATTTACAATAAAATGTAATTTATATCTTTGGTTATTGTATGTACCTATATTATTTATATTTTCATATACTTACCTCCGCTCCGAGACGCCTTAGATTTGGGCCATAAACACATATAAAATAATATAATAATAAAGTAAAAAAATAATTATTATAATGGTTAATACTCATCGCGTTTTGAGAATGAGATATACCCGATGATGAATTTTTAATTCGAAACCGGTCGTATTATACACTTACCATAATACTCCAGGTAACGCCTTGATTCATTTGTTTATTTTATTTTTATTTATATATTTACTTTATTTGCCTACTTTTCTTTTTTTCTTCTGAAACCAACAGGACGATAGCACTGAAGGATCTATATTAACATTACTACTGTTTACTCCAATACTGCCATCATTTATTCGAACCATACACATTTAAGAACCAATACAGAAAGTAGTTAATACAAGATAAACAGTTTATAAATAAACACATTATGAGGGTATGCAGGCAAGTCCTTTATTACACCTCATACATAAACCTTAATTGCTAACTTAAACCTTATGCCCCTGAGCCATAGTCTTCCTAGCCCGATTCACGGAACCAGCCGACCTGGAGACCCGGTCTACCTTTCCTCTTAGCAACCCGGTTGATAGAACCTATCGGTTCAGGGTCCCGTTTCAGATACAACTACTTGGACGAGAAATATATTATTTTTTTGATTATACACACAATGTCCTACAAGGAATAATATTAAACTAAAATAATTTCACAAAATACAACATAATAATATTTATTCTCACACGTCGAATCAATTTTCTGAACTTGTTTAGATCGATAGGTATAACTAATAAATTATTCAGTAAATATTGAATATTAAAAAATAGAATTAATTCAATGATACTAAACGTGAACAATTAAGATTTTACATATATTTGAGAGACTATTAATTGATGGATTCGGAAAGAACATAAGTCTCAAGCTCCATCTTATTTGCGCTTAAGAAAATTTCAACCAGGTGAGAGGATTTTTTTTCTTTAGCTGTTGAAAAATGTAAGATGAGTGGATAAGTAATCTACTAAATATTTGCCTCTCAACAATTTTGAGTACGCTATTTTAACAATACAAATCTATTTCTAAAATACTTTAAAGATAAATTATTAATAAAGAGTTAGGTTAAACCTTGCTAAAAAAAAAAAAAAAACGATTTTGAGCGAAGTTCAGTTAAAATGCTTTTAATAAATTGAATTTGTAACTTTAAAATAATAATAACAATTGTCCTCATTTTTGATACGTTTTTGG